GCCCCCAAAATGGGTTATTTTGGGGGCAGCCCCAAATTTTTAAAAGTAAACACCTATCATGTGACCCCTCATTTTAAATGGTTTCTCAAGACAAATTAAATGGCGCAAACTAGAGGTCAATATCGCACCCCTAATCAAAATGGCAGTAATTTTGGAATATCCCCTATTAATTTTTTAACAGGTTATAGCAGGAAAACTAAACTCAGCATACCTTTACGAAAAAAGAGAATTCACCTTTTGGTCAGTATTATAATATTTAATTTTTAAAGTTACTGGGGGTGTCCAGACTTTATCATGATTGCTTATCTTAAATAATTAAAATGGCTGCCATTTTGATTAGGCGTGGGATATTGACCCCTGGTTTGCGCCATTCAATTTCCCTTGATAAACCCTTTAAAATGATGGGTCACATGATAGGTGTTTACATTTGCAAATTTGGGACTGCCCCCAAAATACCCCATTTTGGGGGCTGGGGCAAAGTTGTAACTTTGATGAAAAAGTGCAATTTCTTATGTTGCAAATATGTGCCGAGTTTAGTTTTCCTATTGCAACGCGTTAAAAAGTTAACTAGGGGTATCCACACATTGCCCAACCCTGTATAAGGATGCCGGCGTTAAATCAAAATTTAGCACATCGCACACCTTTGCTGAATTTTTCGGGAATGGAATTTACATTGCATAGGTAATGCCGGCAGAGCCTTAAACAGTGGCCATATTGAGATTTACTGAACATCACCAAAAACTTTTTGATTTTTTTATCTGTATGTAAGCTATGTGTTGCCATGTAGTTATCATTTTGTAAATACAAATTTACGTTTAACTGTTTCAATTTACTCGAGTTATTACACTTTCGAACTTCAGCTTCATAATATGTTCTGTTAGAAATGTATTAATGTGCAGGGTGGTCAAAAAGAGCTTACACATTTTAATATAAATGTTTATTTACGAAAACCAACAAGGCCTAGATGGCAATATTTACATATGCACAGATAGAAAAACTCAAAAAGATTTAGGCGATTTAATAATAAATCTCAATATGGCCACCAATTAAGGCTATGTTGACGTTAACTCATGATTTAGCATATCACACACCTTTACCGCATTTCTCGGGATGGAATACATTGCATGGGTTAACCAGTGGCCATATTGAGATTTCCTGAACATCACCAAAAACTTTTTGATTTTTTTTATCTGTACATATGTGTTACCATGTAGTTAATATTTTGTAAATAAAAATTTACGTTTAACTGTGTCAGTTATCTTTGGACCACCCTGTATATTGGTAATTGTAATTATTAAACAAAAAATTAAATAGGCATTTTTATTGTGCTCATAAAACACGTTTTTTCGTTTGATATGTTGTAATTATCTACAAATCGTATTTTGTATTAGGTTAGTTTAGGTTGGGTTGGGAAGGGTTACGAACGAAGACTAAACTGAAATTGTGTATCTATCGTTTTGTCACATACAAACACAAGTGGCAAAGAATCATGTACAAGTGACTATGCACGAATTTACTGAAATGAATGTAGCCTACAAACTCGCCATCGTACATATGACGCAGTGTGTCTGCTGTATCGTAAAGCTTGCTCCATCATCACAGATTACAGATAATCTAGCATCGTTGGCGTGGTGACGACGGTCACGGTGGGAGAGAGGGGAACTCGGGTTGGTTGCCTGGCAACAGTGGATAGCACTTGTGTGGCGGCGGCGCTTGGCGAGACGGCAATATGGCAACGCTGTAAACGCCTGCCTTGCAATGCGGTGTTGCCACATCCCTGGCCCAGGCACGCCGCACACTGGCCGCCAGGTCAGGGCCCGGGACCTGGATCAATACAATGCCCCGGGTGCTAGGGCGTAAGCTCATAACTAATATTTCTGTTAACATCGCAGTTAGGAATTACTGGTAAATGAGTTTTGAGTTACAACAACTGCTGTCCTCGATATAATACATTATTTAAAAATTATTGTCCCAACTACAAACGAAACTGGCTTTGATTTGGTACAAACCACTGCACCAATATTATCGAACAGAATCACCAATTAGGCTATAGTATAATACATAAGTTAATTGTACAGTAATAATAAATTTCGTTTTGGGCACCACAATCAACAGATTACAAGTGAAACAAAGTGTATAGCTATCAAATCTGTAGTCAAGGTCGCTGAAATCTATATTAATTGTAAAATTTTGATAGTAAGAAATCGAAACGGCACATCGATTATTAGCCCAGTCAATAAAAAAGAAAAGAAAATACCATTTGTTTTGTTACAAATAGAAATTTATCGATTGCACACTATTTCATTGCTTTGTTAAAAATTGAGCTGGAGCACCACGGGAGTACAGTACAGTATACAGTAATAGCAGAAATACCATGTTACAATACGTATTTTGTAACATAAATGCTGTGTGAGCTGTGTTATGCTTGATTGTTATGTAATTATTAATGTGTTAATGTGTGTTTAAGTAATCGACTTTGGCTTTTGTGCTATGAGAGTAAAAAAAGTAGAAAATCGGTCGAAGCTAATATATCTTATTTTGTGTATGTTATTTTATTACATGTTTTAATTTGAAAGTAAATTATAGCCTATAAATAAAACACTATGTGCCTATTATACATTGGTCTACCGTGTGCCATGTCCAGCTTGCAGTTCATTGTTGCATATTGTTGACGGATGTATTGTGATTTGTTTGGATCGATGAGTGATCCTAAATAAACGAGTTTGAGTTACAGCTTACTCTTTTTACCCAAGAAATAAACTAGATTAATTCCTTGCCAATAAAATGTTAGAGTATTCATAATAAAACATGGACTGAAAACAGTCTTTTTCGCTACAGTATGGCGACAAAAAATCTATTTTGCAGTTCAAATAAAGTACCTAACTGTTTACCACTACGATAATAGAAATATGGGATACTGAAAACAGAATTTTTCACTAAAGTATGACGACAATCTGTGCTCTCTGGCCACATACAGGGTTAGGAAAAGGTCTGGAACCCCCCAGTTAACTTTTTAACGCGTTGCAGTAGGAAAACCAAACTTGGCACATATTTACAACATAAGAAATTGCACTTTTTCATCAAAGTTACAACCTTGCCCCAGCCCCCAAAATGGGGTATTTTGGGGCCAGCCCCAAATTTTAAAAAGTAAACACCTATCATGTGACCCCTCATTTTAAAGGGTTTCTCAAGACAAATTGAATGGCGCAAACTAGAGGTCAATATCACACCCCTGGCCCTAATCGAAATGTCAGCCATTTTAATTATTTAAGATGAGCAAGCAAGATAAAGTCTGGACACCCCCAGTTAACTTTAAAAATTTAATATCTAATACTGACCAAAAGGCGAGTTCTTCTTTTTTTATAAATGTATGCTGAGTTTAGTTTTCCTGCTATAACCTGTTAAAAAGTTAATAGGGGATATTAAAAAATGACTGCCATTTTGATTAGGGGTGCGATATTGACCTCTAGTTTGCGCCATTTATTTTGTCTTGAGAAACCCTTTAAAATTAGAGGTCACATGATAGGTGTTTACATTTGAAAATTTGGGGCTGCCCCCAAAATACCCCATTTTGGGTGCAGGGTACAAGTTCTAACTTTAATGAAAAAGTGAATTTTTTTATGCTGTAAACATGTGCCGAGTTTGGTTTTTGCACTGCCACACGTTATAAAGTTAACTGGGGGTGTCCAGACTTTATCTTGCTTGCTCATCTTAAATTAAAATGGCTCCCATTTTGATTAGGGGTGCGATATTGACCTCTAGTTTGCGTCATTTATTTTGTCTTGAGAAACCCTTTAAAATGAGGGGTCACATGATAGGTGTTTACATTTGAAAATTCGGGACTGCCCCCAAAATACCCCATTTTGGGCGCTGGGGCAAAGTTGCAACTTTGATGAAATAGTGCAATTTCTTATGTTGTAAATATGTGCCACGTTTGGTTTTTCTACTGCAACGCGTTAAAAAGTTAATTGGGGGGTTCCAGACTTTTGCCTAACCCTGTATAGACGCGTATTTAACACAAACAATGAAACAATAGCCGAGGATGGGTGTGGAATAAAGTGTGATGACTTGAACAGCTTTTCAAAATTTGTGGTTTCACTTTCAGGCCTACATGGTGGACAAACAAACAGGGTACCTACTAAAAATTATTTACTTTTTAAACTCTTTATATTGGATTAACTTAATTTTATGTTTTGGGGTTAAAAAGTGAGAAAACCCGATTTTTACCCTATAAGTAAAAGCCCGTTCCCATAGCCCGAAATAAATACTAGCCTAAATAATGTTCGCAAAATGCAATTTATAACGTATGGCCTCTATCTAAGTTACACCATGCAAAAAACGAATATCTAAAGTCAAGGTCTTTAGTCAGAAAGAAAGAAATGAACGTAGGAAACGTTTCTACCACATTTCATAGAAATTGAATAATTTTACTGGAGTTTTTTGTAGGCCTACATGGGAGATTTGCTAAAAGTGATAGCAATGATGTCCATACACGTTTAGAACGATACATAATTTTTAGATGCAAGTGGATTTGAAATGAATTTTGTTTGTAATTTATACTACAAAGTACAATTCGAATAGGCCTACATGTTGACCGAAAGGTTTTATTTTGCTTTTGTTATGACATAAAACCATCATGAACACGTTTATACATTTACTTGCTAAGTCATAGTAAGCTTATCTTAATTTATTCCTTAATAATTATCTGAAGAAACTATAGAAAAATTGACTGGAGTTTAATTACGGCGTAAAAAAGAGATTTTTCAGAAACACAGATTCTAGAATCTAGCGAGATCTCTCAAACAAAGCTCAACGCTTAGTTTTAGTGGAGGGAGAAGTTACGCATCGCCATGTTTGTTTGGATCGATGAACAGCCTGAGCAGGTCAAGATGGAGGCGGAGCGAAGTCGCAAATCGGTGTTCTGCGCAGCCAGTTGGAGTGGGTTGAGAACTACTGAAACGCTTTTGTGCTCCAAAACGGAAATTTTCCGTTTTCGAGGTGTTCGCCTATTACTTTTTGCTCAACCGACGCCACCGAGCTTCGATGCTGCTTTGAAGCTTCACCAACGGCATTCACATCCAAGACGCCATAACATGAACTTCGTGGAGTGAAAACACAGCAATTTACCAAGGTATTTTATGTTGTTTGGTTTAACTTATCATTATATAACAGTATCTCCAAAGAATTAGACATGCCGTTCAGGCTGATTAATATTATTTACATCTTGGACTTTCGAATAGGCTACAACATTTCAGAGTTCCATTTCAACGATCTAAGTTAGGCCTAGCTCAACTTGGACCTAGGGCCTATTTCAACCCTGGCCAGTCTAATTATCCGCTTTTATCAATTTAAATGCTTGTTTTCTTGATTACCATAGCCTACAATGGACCAATGACATTCTAAATTTTAACGTTTTTAAAATTTCATTCGTAATTTTCAATTTTAAGTTAGGCCTATTTACAGGCCTAGGCCTTTGATTATATCCTACCAAGTTAGGCCTAGCCTATTGAAGTAGATATGAGAGATTATCTTATAATTTAATTTTCAAACAGTGATTCATCCTCAAACTCGAGCCATCAATTAGTAGCCAAGGTCTAGGCATAGCCCACGCTAGTTTTGTCAACATTTGTTGGTGCTTTGATACAACCCAATTGAGATATGTCTAACTTATTGAAGCTCGGTCTAACTTAACTTAAAGGTAATTTAGAGTAGACCTTGCATACTTAGTAAGTTAAGGTAGGCCCTAACATAACTTGGGAGTAGTCTAGTGATGTGACGAGTTGAGTACTTTCTTGACTCGAGTCAAACTTGACTCACAATTATGTCAACTCGAGTCAGACTCAACTTGGTAACGGTCGGTTGAGTTCGGGTCGACTCGCAGCGCAGCCAATAGGGCTATAGTTTGGCGAGTCGGCTCAACTCGCATTCAGCCAATAGCGTTTGGGCCTACGTTTCGCAACTCGTCAAGTCCAGAGTTCGTTAAGGTTTGGCTTTCTCCGTATGAGTTCGGTTTCTTGACTCGCTTTGAGGCTGTGAGCCAATAGTGTTAAAGTTTTGCGAGTCGAACTCGTTACGTTCCGAGTTCGTGTAGCTTCGGCAATCTCCATACGAGTTCGTACCAACTCGAGTTGGGAATTAAATGACTCGATTCGAGTCAACTCGACTCTCCAACTCTACTCGTCACATCACTAGAGTAGCCTAGGCAAGCATCGATGGTAGCATCGAGAACCATATCAACCGTAGATTTGACCAGGCCCTAATTAGCCTACTGAGATGACAAATGGGGTTACTTATTGATTTTGATGGGCACAGTTGATTAGACCAGCCTAACTTGTGTTGAAGCAGGGATTGCTGCCACTGAAATTTGTTATATAGGCTACCTAACTTATGAGGGTTGAATTGATTTCTGGTGACATAACTTAAGTTAAGCAAGCACGCTTAAAATGTAGCCTAGGCTTGATAACAACTTTTAAGTAAGTAACCTATCTCCCTTTTTGTTTGAAGTCTTGTCCAGTTTGTGATAGGCCTATTTTTGGATTTGATTTGATTTGAAGTTGCTTATTTCATCAGCCTTTCAATAACTTAGAATGAAAACTCAAATTTACCTTCAAGATCTTAACTTAACCCTCCATCAACTAACTTAGCCATTCAAAATCACTTAAATCTTAATTAGTAAGTTAATGCACCACGTAGGAGCCTATCACTACTTTTTATTTTAACACTAAAACAATGATAAACACAATAAAACACATGTTGATGTGAGGTTAACCAAGTTGTTTACAAATAGGCTAGGTATACACGACATCTGTCTGCTACAATATGATCGAAGCGTCGCAAAACCGAGCGACACTTAACACTCTGAGGGTTAAGGTTAACTTAAATTCTTATTTTCTTTTAAAAAAAACCTTAGTATAGCCTAAATAATTTCTTGATCAGCAATGTTGGCCTATAGGCCTATGTTAAAACTTTTGGAATTAACTTGCCTACCTGAAAGCACATAAATATGTCCAATAACTTAACCCATTTGGTAGCTTTCTAGATTAACTTAACACTAATACCGGAACCCCCGGTCTGTGAGACCTTATTTGAAAAATAATGGACCCCGCTTAGATACACACAAACCGAAACCCTCGGCCTGTGAGATCCCGCTTTAAAATACACTAACGCTGGGCGTCTGAGACTGGCATGTTATGAACAGACATCCTGTCAAGGTCACCCATGCGAAATGAACAAACAGTATATCAATAGGTAGGGGAGGAAAAGGGAGGAAGGTATTGGGGGAATGGAATCTCCCAAGTAAACAGTGTTGCCATAATGCGTTTGTGAAACTTCCCGTGGGCTTGTTAGACCGGGGTTTCGGTATTAGTGTTAAAACCCATGAGCACGCCGTTGGTAGCCTAAGTTGAGGCCTTGTCTGATGTGTTCAGCCTCTCCTTAATTTAATTTACTGATTTTATATTTGATTTGCAGATGGCAACGGACCAGCAATTTTGTCTACGCTGGAACAATCACCAAAGTACTCTGATCTCCGTATTCGATTCTCTATTGGAGAATGGAACTCTAGTCGACTGCACACTTGCTGCTGAGGGACAGTCCCTGAAAGCCCACAAAGTCGTCCTATCGGCATGCAGTCCTTACTTGGAAGTGAGTAACTTTGACTTATGTTACTTAGTTCAATCTCATTTTAGCCTGGTGAAGTGTTGAGTCAAGTATTCATAAAAAGTGATGGTTAAACCAAATTGCTCTCAGGTCAGTTAAAACTAACTAGGCCCTGGGCCTAACTGTTATTTATATGAGCGCGTGGGGGAGTCTGTTAAGGGGAGATGCCCAGTTTTTCGGTCAAAAAATTAATTTTTTGTTTATTGCATTGAAAAATTCTTCATCTTTTCCTGATTCAGAAAATATATAATTTTAATATATTTACTACAGTCTAACAATCATAAAAAATAATATAAATAGTACTACACACTCGGTTTTAGTCACAATGGGCTGAATTAGCGTCAATTAAATTTATGTTAGAAATTTAATTTTGTTGAATGGTTGCACTGAATAAATGTTGTTGCTAGGTTAAATAGTCAACAAAAATCTTTTTCTGTTTGTTTTTCTTTCTTCATAACATATGTGTATATAATAATAGTGCTGTTTGTGATGAGGAATAATGTGGCATAGGGTAGGCCTAGGCTTGACTTTAAATGAGTTTTTCCGAAACTGTGTTTTTTAATGTTTAGGTACCATTTTCCAGACTACTATAAGTACCACTGACTTCAAATTTTTTTCTGTTACTTAGGACATCATGGCCCACTAAGTGTACTAAAAGTTTGCTTCTATGTTTAAAAAAACATTAACAATAAAATTAATTAATATTTGTAAAATAGTGAAAAAAATTATATATTTTAAAAATTTTGATAAAATATGATTTTTTTTGTAGAGCATATTTAAATTAGTACAGTTTGTCTTAAATGTCAATACAAATAAGTAGTTAAAATTTGATATGCATAGCTAAAAGGGTTCTTTCTTAAATGGTACCTAAGCAACACGATGTTTACCCATATAAAATGCATTAAATCTAAAAAGTGGGCATCTCCCCTTAAGAGGGGGCCGACTGTAACTTGTGCTTTTATGGTTCAGTTTTTGTGAACCGAGTCGTCCGGGCTAGGCCTAGGAGTTAATAACTTAGAAATTTAACTAAGCATTTGAGTTGGTAGACCCCAAATTGTAGCGATTTTCTGCCTTCTTCGCATTTCCTCAGAGTTTAATCCTGGCCAGGAGGTAGGCTTATGGTTTACTCGAGGTGATAAGGGACTGTGTGCTTAAGTCTGACTCTCTAACTTACTTAAGTTATAGATGGTTTGGCCAATTTGATATAAAAAGAAACTTGACTCTGCATCAGCCTATAACTTAGCTTTTAAACTTCTGTCCAAAAAAGTTTTGATACTCAGGCCCTTGTATCAGTATATGGAGGCCACTTATTTTACAGCATGCTGCGGTGGTTAGGTAGGACTTTCCTTCATTATGAATCGAACGATATCAGATGTCATAAAAAATTTATGATAACCTTGTATTCCTGTAATGAAGTGTTTGACTATGGCAGCTCGCGGAAACATGTAACACGTTGACAAAGGTTACTTTTGGAACTGATAAAGGTATTTTAAAACCAAATATTTTATAACCTAACCGCTGCAGCGTGCTGTAAGGGTGGCCTCCGTATAATACCAAAGTACCAAACTTTGTGTATGGTATAATGCTGCGACCCTCTACAACTTACCTGAAGGAGTAAAATATTTCCGGGCTAGAACGTGGCATCCTTAAATTCAAGAAGGTTGGCATTTAAAACATTTTATTAGTGCCTGAAGTATTAGCGTACGGTACACTCCCTCTTATCTGGACACCTTTTAATCGGACATCGGTTTAACTGTACTACACTCGGCGGAAATGACATCTCTTTAACTAGACAATGCTTATCAACACATCGGATTAACTAGACTAGATCGGAATGCTTATCAACACATCGGATTAACTGGACTAGATCGGCAGGAAGTGGACTGCACTGAAACGACTGTTCTCGTGGGAACTATTTGAGACCATTGATCACGTGTCTAAATACAATGCTCTCCTTAATTTAATTTAAATATTAACATAATACACATAATAATGAATTAACATTACATAATAATAATAAGTTTTGTTTCATTGGGGATATCGGTTTAACCGGAAATCCAGACTGGCCTCAGTCCCGAGGAGTCTGGATAAGAGAGGGAAGTAGCTATTTGTTAACTAAAACTAAAACTATTTGATAGTTACCGGTACTTCAGATTAACAGCATAAACCGATTTTTACAGAATATTCTCTGTTGTATTTTATCACATTTGAACTTGTGTTCTTGATAGCCTTTGTTACAACATTTTTTGGGATTTCAGGTTTTTTAACTTTTATTAATATAGCTGTGGTTAAGTTAACTAAGGCTACCCGAAACAATAAACCAAGATAAAATCACAAAAAATGTTATGTAGGGTATATAATAATGTCAACATTAAAAAGGACTATAGCATTGTACAGGGTGCGACATGTACATTTTCTTGTTATTGGATATATTTTAGTTAAATTCTTATAGCCTGACTTGACATCAGTGTTTCCATTCGCGGGATCATTATCTCGAAAACGGGATTTTTAGACCTTGAGCGGGATTAAAACGGGATGCGGGATAAAACGGGATTTTCGGCTGTGACGACTATTTTTATTTTTTTTCTACTCAATTTTAGAGAAAAACTAACTCAAATTGTTTAAATACTGTAGCAAAATATAATAGTGATGTTTAAACAACTTATAAAAATGATACTTATAGTTTAATGCTAGGAATTGTACCAAAAAAATCATGTGGGATAAAACGGGATTTTTCACCGATTTAAAAGCGGGATAAAACGGGATTTTTCGACCCAGTAAGCGGGATTATTTTTTTGGTCGTGTGGAAACACTGCTTGACATCACTATTCATATAAATATTTCTTGATTTATCAGCCCCAGTGTCCAATTAAAGGTTGTATAGGCCTATGCGTTTTTCTTTTAGCAATGTGGAACAGCTAGTTAATTTATTTAAATCCTATTTTTATTTTCCCATCAGCATAGCCACATTACAGTGAAAATACATTTACAACTAGAAAAAAAAAACAGAAATAGCCTAACAGGGTTGTCAGCGACCGTGAATTCCAGGAAATTTAAAAATTATGTGTGAATTTTAACTGCCGTGCAAAAATCGTGAAATGTGAAAATGGAATTGCCTGAATTTCAACTATCATCATTTCTATTATTATCATGTTCGTTTATTTTCTAGGAATTAGTTTAGTTCTAACAATTTTGAGCAAATTTATCCATACAATTTTGTATATTTACGGGAGATTTAGATTAGAAAGAAATTAACTAGAACTGAATCTCGAGTCCGCCGACAGAATATGTAGACTCGCCGCCAGCTCTATAATAACGTAAATCATGTAGCAGGGTAGTAGCAGTGTCAAACTCAAGGTCATGGCTTGAATTATGTCCTAGTTGAATATTAATTGTATTTTAATTAATGATAGGTCGATAGTACCGTACTCATGATTCTTGATACTGATTCCATGTAAAAACTCATTTTTTTAAGTAAGTTATGGTCAATGTTTCATCCATGTTTGAATTCTGAATCAGACAACCGACGTAGTTCATGCTGGCTCAAAATTATCGTGCGATCTCAGTTATTTATCGTACCCAAGTCTGATAAGTACGTAAATGGAATCAGGGAACCGCTCTTGCTTTTTACAAAACGCAATAGTCGTGCTTTTTACAAAACGCAATAGTCGTAGACTTGAAAACATCCAAATGGAAGTAACTTAGTACTTGCACAGCAACTCTGCTAGAAAATCGAGACGCTAGAGAAATTGGCTATTGCCAATTCCACAATCCCCTAGTTCCAAAGTACTATTCCCCTAGTGCATATGGCGGCCAACGTCTCAATTCTCGCATTCAAGTGATACAACAGAGAGTTCTATTGTTTGTGGTGATCCCTTAAGCTGCGTTGTAGCTCTAGTTCAATGTGCTATTGCCCGTATCGACTTAACCTTGACTGCAATAAGTATTTGGCCTGCGTTCGCATTGTGCGTTTGTGTAGCAAGCAATGGCGGAACTGTACTGTAGAATGTAGACATTAAAGACAGTTTACTCGACGATTTGTGTGATGACAATAAGATTCCCAATCGATGCTCAAATGTGGATTAGTTAACTTTGGAAAATACATCATTTTAATAGTAATAATTTTTGGTTTTTACCGGTTTACAGTTGATCGTAAGTAACTTTCGGCAAATAAAACGCAAAAAACTTACAGTGGTAAAATGCTTCAGTAGGTCTAAGAAACCATTTTCTACAACGAGTTTTGTTTCAAAGTTAATTTTGGAAAATACACAAGTTTTATTAACACACCATCGACATTCTTTCAGCCTTGGACTTTTTCCCAAATCTTGCCCACATTTATTTCTCCATGAAAATAAATTTCCAAGACATAAAATTCCAAGACATAAAATTCCAAGACTTATCAAATTCAACCCAACGGCATGATTTTAGCGAATTTTCCTGTAGGGAAGGAAGTAGGCTACCTATTACTGTAAGTGGCACGGTAAGACCTAAACACCCGGTACCGATTTACTTTTTTCAGAGGCCTTAAACACTATTCGTTCAGTTTTGTACAACTGGAATTTTGATTTATTTTGACTCGGAGGTTGAACAAGTCATTACTCGGGGGTTGAACAAGTCGTTACTCTACCAGCATATAACCTAACCTTTTCTACTTAAACTTTTGGGTAGGCCTATAAGTTGCCTGGGTCCAATCGACTAAAGGAGAGAAGTTTATTCAAATTTTTGCCGCAACCATGAATGACGGACATAGGCCTAACTAGCCATCGAGGCTTCAGGATTATGCCGCTGATGAAAATATTTTCCTTTCTTAGCTATTGTGAATTTGTTAGTGTACAGTGTTTATATTAGGAGGACTGTACTGTGAAATTTATGTTATGTTGCATGTGATGTTTAAAATTCTTTATACCGAATTTAATATCATGTGGATGATAACAAGTAGACTAACAATTGGTTTTCTTTTTTTTCAGGCGCTGCTAAGTCAGCATTACGAGAAACATCCAATAGTGATCCTGAAGGATGTGAAGTTTTCGGAACTTAAAAGTATGATGGACTATATGTATCGCGGTGAAGTGAACATTTCCCAAGATCAATTAGGAACTTTCTTAAAAGCCGCCGAATCGCTTCAAATTAAGGGACTGTCAGATAACGGAGATGATGCGCGAGATGTAGGTTCGACAAATAAAAAACCGGATGCACCCCGACCTAATGTCACCCAAACCCGCGCACCCTTAGAATCAAAAAGGCCCGCCCCTTTAGGAGATGTGTCAGATACCTCTAGGGACGGTAGCATTTCTCCTTCTTCTCTGAGGAAGAGAAGAAGAACACGAAGGCCTTCAAATGGGGAAGACCCCGAAAATAATTTAGATAACAATGTCTGTGATCTCCCTGCCCCTCAATCTACCCCCATGCCAGTTCCTAGTGCCCCTGTTCAAAGTTTACCTAAGCAAATAGTCAAAACAGAACCACCTCCGCCGATGCCTGATCCTGTGAAAAAAGAAATTCTGGACCCCCCCGCCGAACCTCTGCTAGAACCCAAGACTGAGTACCTGGACTACATGAATAACGAAAACAGCATTGAAGTTGAAGATCTGACCCTGGACGACGATGATGAGGATGGAATGGACTCTTCAATGGATGCCTCTCGACCCGGACCCTCACATGGCGATCTATCACAAGGTAGGCACTTAAAACTTGAAAATTGTAAAGAAAATCTAATACAGTGCAGAGAACATTACTATTATTGTCTGATGAAATATTAGAAATATGACTAGCTATTTCAATTATATTTAATAAATATTACAGTTTTTGAAATGGCCCCTTGGTTTAAAATCATGTAATATTCAATATGTTCATGTGTTTGTAAAGCAATTTTTACATTACATTAAAAACTATAACTGATACGATTTACATATTATCAAACTAATATTTGATCTCATAATATGAGCCATACCATAGTATGGTATGTCCTCTGTGGAACTATATCCAAAATTCACCATTTTGGAAATAGTTGAATGTTTTTAGCAAATCTCCCATATAGGGAATAAGCAGTTTTTTTTTATTTTTTTATTTGGGGTAACTATACCACATAGTGCCTAATGGAGTTGCAGAGTTTTACTTAGATATTGCCTCTTGATTAGGAATCAATAGTTATAATTTGTTTTTATAGCTTAGCTAGGCCTACCTATTTAGTTTTGCAAGACTTTATTCATGACGGACATTTATTTTTCCTATAGTTAACCTGACAAAGTGGGCTTCCTTGCTTGATTATAGCACTCCAAGTAGCTAGAGTGCTGCATTTACCTACTTTTGCCTCACTTATTTTTTTTTGCCGCACTCCTGTATTCCAATCAAACAAAACAAAACAGTGTGCTTTTATTAGGCCCGCAATAATATGTGAGCATAATTTGAAGCCCGTACTATATGTGAGCTTGAAAATAATTTGGCAACACTTAAAAATAAGACTACGATCAGCTGGTGTAGTGTTCCCCATTTCATTTGGATTGAACGTAACCTAATAAAATAAAACATAACCTTATTTATAATGCTTTATAGCAACTGTAAGAATAATATAATGTGCAATGATGGTGCAAAATGCCTTTGCTGATTAGCTCAAGTTCCATTCGCTAACTTAAATCAGGCGTAATAGTTTCTCTTGTGAACAAAGGAAGTGGAAGTAATGACCAAGTTGTTAGTTTATTAAGTTGCGTTAGGCCTACTTTGGACCTTGGACCCTTGTGACATTGCTGGCGCGCATCTTTTGCTAAATTTTCAAATATTCACATGTTAAGTGATTAATCTATTAGGCCTGTTATACATCTACCCGGCTGTCGTTTAACTGGCAATGGGGTGAAGAAGTATATGGGACTGTTCACATATGCACGGCATGTGGTTGGTTAATCACTTCACTTGCCCGGCTGCCGTGTGCTACTAGTAGAAGGATGCTGGGAGCACCCTAGGTTAAGTTCGGCTGGAGTAGTGGGTGTAGCGGCCCAATGTGACTGTTCATATACAACCGGCACATGCCGTCTGTCTGGTGCACCAAGTGTACTTTTAGTTCAGTTGTTTTTGTGTAATACTTTGGGTTATTTGTTCACAAAGTTTTGATCATATGTTGGAAATAGACCTTGAACTACTTATTAATATTAAATTGAATTTTATCCAATTAAATGTTTATTTTGTTATTTTTATCATCGAATTAAATTTTACTCAAATTCAAATTAAATAAAAAAAAATCCAAATAGCCTACCAACATACAGTTAAAATAAGAGTAATTTACATTCCATTTCTATCCCTATGACACAAGTTTCACAAGTCGAGTACAACTGCCAGTGTGCCGGTGTCGGTGTAATGTGAACAGTGCAGTGCGCTGTTGCCAGTTAGAAGTCGGGTTAACGGCATGCCGGGTAGATGCGAAATGGACCTTACACTAATTGCCATGAGAGTCTGCAGTTGACGGCAGCCAATAGCAAGACTCTGCTAGAACGACGTTGCAACATCGCCCGCTAACTAATTTTATACACTACTATTATACTAAACAATATCAAATCAGCTGGTATTATTAGATTTGGAAACTGCGAACGGTCCTCATTGGCTCCTTCAAAGCCACGTGGTAAATAGGCTCCCTCAACTGCGGACTCAATGAGGTGCACTGCCCAGTTTTCATTCCCTCATGGGCGAGAAACCTTGTGTACATTTTGTCCCAATATACTTAACGCGGCCGTTTTACTCTACTCGGGTCTTCTTCAACTACATGGCATGCAAAGGGTTAAAATTTCTTTTAACTTTTAAGTTAGAAGTTTCATAACATGTGTTATATAAAAACTTCTCTGTTCAGGCGGTTACCCTCCATGGACAATGACAGGCGACCAATCAGGCACGGACGAAATCTTCATGGCAGCACAGGAAGCAGTCGGCGCAGCATCAGGACAACAGCAACGTGATAGTCAAGGTAGGCATGGGTCGCTGACTTGAACACATGGGGTCGGGCACACTCGTTAAATGAATTACTTAAGAGCTTTTTACATATTCACAGTAGGGGAGATGTGCCTGATACCATGATCCTTTTCTAGAATTAAGTCAACAAGGTGGAATCTATACTTGAATTACATAAATATATAAACAAAAATCACAAATGTCCAATAGAAGTTGATTTAACTTAACCGATTCAAATGTCTTATTAACAGAGTCATTGAAGCAAAGTTTTTAAAGAACGGTTTTGGTTTTTTGTTCAAAATTTAGGCGATCAAGCTTTTAGCTGTAATTACTTAGTGCATAAATTATGCTCAATGCGTTAAACATTTTAAGTTATTTTTATTTGAAGATACTAAAGTGACTTAAACCCAGTTTCACTTGAATGATTGCATTTTCTTCTTAACAGGATTATTTACTGATTCCACCTTGTCTTTGTTGGATACAAACATTATAGGTTAATTTAACCAAGTAAGATTTTTTCTTTAAATTTAGTTTTAAGTTCTTTCATAAATGATGGAGATATTGGGAATCTGTATTTTAATGTAAATTTATTGATGCAAATTATCCTGTTTAATTGTTAATTAATTGTTTGAGTGAATTGGTTCCATTTGGATTTCAAAGTTTACTTTTATTCATCTTAACCCAAGATTTGATTGAGTTAAGTTGTATTAAAATGCTTTGGGAAATAGAACAACCATTTCTCCATATTTGAAACTAACTTTTGATGAATTCTGACTTGTAATCAAAATGAACACGTTTCCCATGTTCTCCTCTGTTGCAATTTTACTAGTGCTGTACTAGATTTTTTAATGTAATTTTTCATAGCTGGAACTGAGGTTGTTTGAAAGGTTTCAATGTTATAATTTAGTTAAAGTTAGTTAAATGATTTGATCGTAAATAAAGATATTTAAATTTCTTCTCAGTTCCGCTTAGGGGAACTTTTGAACAATATCAAAATAAAAAAAATCAACAATAGTAGGAAGTCAAAAGTAAGAGCAGAAATTATTCTTTTATAATAGAGGATTATAGGCTGACTCATTCTTGTCACTAGGCAATATGAGATGGCCTTCCTCGTAGATTAGTAACAGGTTATATAATAATATCTATTCCAAGTGATGGTATGTATGTATTTTGTCTTTTTATTTAAAGAATTAATAGCCTGGCTTCAGCAATTCCATAGAACTAATAGCCTCATGGGCTAGTAATGTTTCATAGTAAAAATTTCACAATGTTTAGTTGGAGAATTTAAAATTATATGTACACTACTAGCCTGGTAAAATGATGTGGAATTTAATTTCATCAATAAAATTGTTGGTCAATTGTTTTTAAGAAAAGTAGAATTACCAGTTTTAAGTTAAAATCTAAAAGATTGATAAAATACTGTTCTTCAACATTATGAGGTCATATAGCACCATCTAAGGTGATTTTTGTCATATTCTTTTTGCTACAGCTGTGTTGTTAAAATACAAAGCTGACAAAACTTTGAAATGGGCCCCAGGCCTTTTTACTTAATGTAGAGTATGCACACACAAAAACATCCATGGCCTACAAGGCCTAAGTTAATTCATTCATCAGCTGATCCGGAGAGTGGACAACTGGTTGGTGGGTATATGGTTGTAAGTGCAGTTTGTAAGACAACTTGTCAATAAAAATATGGAAGTTTGTCTGAGAAGCTATGTCACAACATTGAATTTTCTTTATAATTAATCTTGTAGCGATGACCAATTAGCAAAATCAATGTTGCAGCATCTTAATTCTCTTTCAAATCTTACATATTTTATTCCTGAAAGGTTTCAGTAACTGATACAAAATTATTTTCTTAAAATACACCATTTATATCATATTATTTTGTGTTGAATGCAATTGTCATTCTTCTAAAAATTTTCATTTCTACTTTCAAGTGTATGGAAACACTTCTTGTTCACTAGTACAAACATTTTTAGAAGAATGATTACTTTAATTCATCGCGGATATGAGGTATAAATAGTTGTGTTGCTAAAATGTTTTCTGGACATCTTAAATAATATAGTTTGAAAACGTGGTACTCAGGGCAACTAATTCATTGTTTTCTTTGTAATCAATTAATGGAATAATAATAGTTATTCACTCTCACAACAGCATAAAGATCATTTTGGAGGATCGGCGGTTAAAATATGTTATCCAAAAGTGTCTCATACAAGCATATTTTGCTCACCAATCCTTCTCATGATTTTTACAAAACCGTTTTTATATTCAAATTTTTGTCTTTTTATTTATGACATTGAATTAGTTGCCCGCATAGTTTGAAGCAGGTTTGAAGGACCATGCTCACTTGTTGATAAACACCTTCATATTGTTTTGCAATTTGCCATTGATGATTTTATTTGTCCAATGCTAGAGTTAGCCTTGGTCCTAAATTTGCTTATCGTGAATTTAAAGGACCAGGTTCACTTAAAGCAAAACAAAAAATTAAGTTTGGAAAATAATTCCTGGAGCTTTGAAAAATTAGAACATAATGAGTTGGCATTGGTCCTAATGGTATTTGATTATAAACATTACAATTTGATACATTTTTCGTATAAATCTTTCCAAACTAACTTCTGTTGCATTTCGATTGGTGGTCTTGTTAAATATTTTTCTCTGTTATGTAAAAGATTTGACAAATTAAATACCTATCAATTTTTTTCGGGCAACAAATTAAAAATCAATTTTTTTCGGACAACAAATTAAAAATCAATTTTTTTCGGACAACAAATTAAAAATCAAATTTTTTCGGAGAACAAATTAAAAATCAATTTTTTTTCGGACGACAAATTAAATATCTATTTATTTTCGACAAATTAAATATCTATTATTTATTTTCGGACTTATATAAAATATTTTCGGGGTATTTTTGGGTCTGGCAATTTAATATTTTCAGGATTTTCGGGCTCTAAATATAAAATATTTTCGGGTTTAAATTTATCTCGTCCAAACATTTCAATGCTGAAGTTGAAGTTAGTTCCCATGTTTTGGGTCTTCACTTGGAATAAGGAAGAAAGAAGAGCTCCTGTGGTGTGAGTATAAAGGTCCCGGTAAAGGTATTGGTAAAAAAGGTATTGGTACTTACCTCAAGGTACCAAATGTGTAAGTAAAGTACATTTTAGGGTGACGAAAGTTGCTGTGGGTCAGTGGGTTGGTAATTGAAGTAAAAAATCTTGATCTAAAATGTCCAGTATGATTTGTTTGTTTTGAAAACAATATTATTGGTTTAAATTTTAAAATTCCAGGCTAAAATATACCAAGTGGCTAACCCAACATTGACCTCAGCAAATTCCGTCTTATTAGTCATAATCTTTTTCCACCCTCTTTTTAACCAAAATATTTTTGAATTGAAGCATTAAAATTAGGGACACTTGGTAGGAATACAAGTGAAAACAGGGTCTACTAGGTACACAATTAGGGATGACGAAAACAGGGCCTATTAGGTACACAATTAGGGATACAATTAGGGATATAGGTAAATTTTATTAGGTACTAAAAACAAACTGAAAAATACAATGACAATCAAACTTAAAACCAAACTGAAAAATATGATGACAATCAAACTTAGAAAATTAATTTCAAATTGCCAAACAATGTGTCTAATCGAGAGGTGTTGTAATGGAGCCAAAACTTGCTAACAAAATTTTCTCCAACTTTAAAATGATAAAAGTCTTATTGAAAGTTGAAAATAAAAGGTTTTCTCCACTAAAATGGAGGTCATTTAACAAAAAGTGAATAAAGGTTTAACAAAAAGTGAATAAAAGGTAGCACAAATAACTTGCCAAAAGCATTCTCCACTAAAATGGAGGTCATTTAACAAAAAGTGAATAAAGGTTTAACAAAAAGTGATTAAAGGTTTAACAAAAAGTGATTAAAGGTTTAACAAAAAGTGATTAAAGGTTTAACAAAAAGTGATTAAAGGTTTAACAAAAAGTGAATAAAAGGTAGTACAAATAACTTGCCAAAAGCAACTGAGTGAATGGAAGTTGAGTCTCAATCTTGTGAGATCCTTAAAATTGAATTATTCCTGTCACTTAACACTCCACAAACTACATTTTGCTCTTGATGCAAGTATATTTATTTGTACGTCGAATATTAGAACAGAAATGTATGGACCAGTAAAGAACAATAATAGCTGAACATGGTTTAAAGTTATGTAAATCCATGTTTGTGCTATTTATATAGTTTGTTCCATACTGTTTCTTTTCTAATATCCGTGGGCAGCAGACGAAAGAGGTATCTTAACAATAGCCTAATTGCTGAAATCAAATTTGAAAAATCATGGTCTGCTGCCCAAAGGTAAAGTAGATATTAAGAAGTGCGTGAAAGTGAACATGAAGAGAAACGGGGAGAACTGCAGAAGCAACACTTCAGAAGCAGCTATGATGGTAAGGTATATATAGCTATACTAAGACTAAATGAAAAACCACAAATATTCACTAAATGAAAAGCCACAAATATTCAAGCCTAAAATGTTGGTCCAATTGAAACATTCAAAACACCCAATGAACGAGATTCACTGTTGGTACACAAGCCACTTTAACTAAGAAAATAAATGTTCGCAAAGACGTAAAGAGTGATGTTTGAAAGGTCGGCAAATTAAAATAAAATGCAACTTTAAATGAGGTTGGAGTTTTAGAAGTGTTAACATTAAATTCTATTTTGAGGGATTGTGGATTGATAAAGAAACTCCAGCTACCCTTTCAAAATTGAAGTCTTTACAAGCTTAATTGCTAACTTCTAAAACCAAAACCAATTGTTCTTGAATTATCTGCTGCATTCGTTAGGTCAAATCTAACTGATCAGGAATGTTTTCGTTCTCAAATACTAAAACAGAACAGAATCTAGTCGATATGTAGTCAAGTGGTAGGGAACTAAACATGACCAATATTATTTTAAAATAATAGGCTATCTCAGGCTCGTAAACAAATCTTTCAGAGTGCCATCAATAGTTAAAATGCCTATGTAGGGGACAAGCAGTTGCCGTAGGCCTCGAGGTTAGAGCTGACGAC